ATTAGTTTATTATAGTCTGTAACCGCAATCAAAAATGGATGGAAAAAAGTTCAATATCAAAAGTAGTGATAATTTATCATGGACTTTCATCGGGACTTTCATTGGAAATCAAATTTTGGGTTTGAAATGAAATTCATTAGAAACTGAAAGGTGAATGAAAAGAGCAGGAAAAAAAACTGAAAAGTGTTATCAGTTGATTCCATGAACTTGATTCAATAAACTTGCCAGTTTCACTTCTTGATTTTTAAAACAGCAAAAAATGATGAAACCTTTCTAATAGGTTTTAACTGACTTTAACCCAAAAAAAGAGAGAGATTGAATAGTTTTCATGAAAAGATGGAAAAACTCATTCCAGCAAAACTTCATCATCAATTTCATCTACTTTTATTTTGATAGTCACATATTTATTTATTTATTGACCTAAATAAAGGTGAGCATGAAGGGAACAAATTCAGTTGGCTTTTCTTTACAATTGAAAAAAATGATGATTTCAGTGATGCTTTCCTTTTACACAGATTTTTTGTTATATTTTGTTTGTTTGTTTGTTCATCATCATCATCAATACTTTTCAATTGATTGGTGAGAAAGGTAAGGTGAGATGAAGAGGAAAAGAGCAAGAAAGATGAGGTTAGAAGGAAAAGCAATTGAAAACTATTTCAACTATTTACAGAACTCGAGTTTCCATGGGTTACCCATGATTACAATTTTTTCAACTTTTCACTTTTTTCCATGTAATGATAATTTCAACTTCAATGCTGGTCACGGTTGATCAAGAGACTTGATAACATCAATTGGCATCATTATTGTCAGGTTAACCTTATTTTGTTCACAAAACATTCTCACAATTTGTTGCTATTCAAACATTCATTTTCAACTTAACACGAAATTTTCATGGAAAAGCTGATCAGCTTTCAGAACCAACTCGAGATGTTTAATTAACATTGAAATTCAACTGAATTTACAATTAGAAAAATTTCTTCTGAATCAAAGTAAATCTAATTTTCTGGTTTTAAAAGGTTCGCCAAATTGACTATTTTTACATTTGTTGAAAGCTAAACATTTCAGGTGAAATTTTGTTCAACTAAAGTATATTTTGAATTTCAAGTTCATGAGTACTGAAGCAATAATCAGATTAATTGAGATTAAATGGGAAACCAAAAGATACTGAAAGAGTAAAGAAAAGGTTGAGTTTCCATTCAGAGTTTGATTTACATTTAAACTAAATCAAGTTGACATTAACTGATTCAACTGTTGAAGAATATCATTTATTCAAAGAATCTCATGAAACGTGAATAAATGGTTATCACCTTTCACTTGGACTTGATAATTAATTGAATTGTTTGTGAGGAAAGAAAAAGGTAAACCAGAAAAGCATATTAAAGTGGAAAATGTTTTCAAAGAGAAATAATTGAATTTCGATAAATTCAAATGTTGATATTATTTATGTAACATGTTTTTTCTTCATGCAACTTTCAGTGAAAAAGATAGTTTTAACGCCTTAAAGGCACACTTAGTCAACCTTTGAAATATTCAGCTTAACCATCATTATCACCATCAACATCAATTTTTATAATGATAACATTGAAATAAATCAAGTTATCGAGAAATTGTTGCACAGAGAAAAGGTTGAAATATGAATTTGATAAACTGAGTAACAAAATACAGAATTGGAAGAAAAAAAAATCGTTCAATTTTTCATGTAAAACCCAAGATCTTTTCTTAACCACTTATCAGATGGATTCAATATTAACCTAGATATACATAATATATAAGATATTTTGAGTTTCTTTGCCTGGGAGTGGAAAATATTATTTGTTCAGAAGCCCCATGAAACAAGGAAAAAAACAGAGAAAGTTGAATTTCTCATTCAATTTGGTCAACCAATAACCAAACATTTAAGAGCAACAAAAAGGGAAACACAAAAAGAGAAAAATTTGTCAACTCTTTTTGTCATGTTTCATGTTATTGAAATTATTGTTATTTTTCAGGGAACTTTGAACTTTTCTGTCCAGTAAAGATTAAATAAGAGAATCAGTTTTAGGACAGAAAATAGTTGATAAATTTTCTTGTCAAATAATGAAAATTATTTCTTCTTTATGAACTTTAAGTGTTGAAATATGGTTTGAGAAAAGATTCAAAATTTTTTTGTTTCTTTTGTTTTCACCCATTTTCATGTTTATCTTTACTTTGCTGAATTTGTTGCTTCACAACTGAACCGATATAAAAGTAAAATGATGAGTTATATGCTTATAAATGTGTGAGTTGGGATAAAATGAAAAAAAGCAACAAAAATGGATGAGATATTAAGATATAAAGAGTACATGTTTAAGACAAGCAAGGAAAAGTAATGATAATGATGAGAAATAAAAATATCAAGAAATATGTGCAATGAAAATGACTGGGAGTGAAACAAACAAATGCAACAAATGTAATGACAAATAAATGGACCGTGGCCACCAGAACCCGCCAAGGAGTATTTATTTTCATCGTTTCATCCTTCTTCATCATCGGCCTCATAACCGGTCTTTTCAATACAAGGTTTGCCATAAAAAGCACAGAAGTAAATCATTTTTTTTGGGTTTCAATTTTTCAACTGGAAGAAAATATTTTTGGGTAACAAAAAAACCTTTTAACATTCAACTGTTTTTGAAACAATTTGACAGAAACATTGATATTGACAGAATCTATCAAAATGTTTACTTTTATCCAGAAATTATTATCATTATTGGAGTTCATTTGATAAAGAGAAAAGTAAATTTAATTTCTTGTCAAAATGTAACCAGAAAAGTTGCAGATAGTGACTTTTGTATCGGCAAATGTCTTGGATTGATAGTTTTTTATTCAACTTGTTATCATTCAATTCTGGTTGACTGATTGTCTTTGATTTTGTCACAAATCAAAAACGAACAGTTGAAGGGATGAAAAAATTGAAACAAACAATTTTTTTCGATTCAAATTATAACCAAATCAGGTCAAAATTTTGTTCTGAATCGATTTGCATTATGATGAGAAAGGAAAGAAAAGATATTTACATTTTCATTGCAAGTTCATTCAATTGGCAATTTGGTGGAAAGAAAAGAAAATTGAAATAATTCCAGATTCTGAATCATCATTAGAATTGATATATCAAATGATTATTAGCATAATTAGTTATCATTTTTCATGGTAAATGTAATCAAGAAGAGTTTTCTCACTGATTGAATATTAGCATGTTTCTCTCAACGTTTCACTTGGATATTTTGATCATTAAGATTATCGTTTGAGTTTTGGTTTTTGCCAATTAAATTGAACTGTAATACATGATAGTTCTGTTGGTTGAATAAATAACAGAAAACAGAGGATTCAGATGTTCAGATGAACATGCAAAGGAAAGAAGGCAAGAAAAATGTTGAAAATGATTTAGCCAAATGGTGAAGGAATACGCTCAAGATAAAGATTGAAAGACATTAACCAGAATATTACATTACATGCTCTTTTCCTTGGTGTTGTACCAATAAACGGAGAAGAAGCAAAAAATTCATCTAATATACTATTCTCATGAATGCTCATGTATTTTCAATATATTTATTTGTATAATGTCTTTCCATGTTCAATTCAGACATTTTCCTCCATCTTAACAAATTAGATGAAAATGTTTCTCTTCAATATCATGGAACCAAATTTTGGGTTATCTGTTTGGATAATGATGTTGATCGGAATAATCTTGAGAAGCAAAAATTCAACGTTTGTCTCAATTGTCTTCGAACTCAATGATTCTACATTTTTTCGTAGCTTTTCGTCAATTGGGAATTCAAGACATAAAATCATTTTTAAAAGTATATGCATAATGCATGGTACAACATGTGTATCAATGCTGCCTGTATGCACAAAAGAATGTCAAAAACAGAGAAAATATTACAAAAGATTGAAAGAGAAAACTGAAAATATGAAACAAAAGACGATTTTTTTTCTTCATATTGTTTGTTATTCAGTTTGTTACGATAACGTTAACGAAAACAATGTTTGAAAATGATATTAAAATAAGAGAAGTGTTTTAAAGGTTAAGATGAATTTGCATGGAAGCACATTTGATGGTGGAAATGGTTTGTTTGTGTTACAACTGATTGTCAACTTAACTGGTTAACTTGAACAACATTGTCTAGATAAATTGATGACTTTAGTGAAAAGAAGCGATTATTATTAATAGTTAATTGTTTCATTTATCAACTGTGAAGTTTCAGTGATTTCAATGGATCAAGAATTGTGATTTACAATTAAATTGAGGCAAAATTGTCTCTCTTCTCAATGTTACTTTTGATAAATGAATCAATGATAATGTTTCAACTTGTATTGACTATTCAGGGAATCAACATTGAATACAGTATTTGATTATTTCTGATTTAACTGATGATTAGCTTTTGAAAAATGGTTTTCAGTTTCTTTGTGAATCAAATTTTCTAGTGTTTATTTATGTTTTTATATTCAACAAAAGCACTTTTTTCCTGCTTCTTTGCTTTCGTTTAAACATTCAGATTAACTTGATAATGAAAATGTTTTATCAAACGGTTCAAGCAATGAAGCATTATCATGAAATTTGATGAAAACAAAAGATAGGAATGGGGTTGAAATGAGGAAGTTATCTGAAGAAATTTAAGTTTCTATTTTTTACAACAAAATTGTTTTGTTCATAAAGGAATCAGATTTTTAAGGGAAAATATTTTGCTATTTCTTATTATTCTGAATGGGTTAACATGTTGTCTTCATGTTAATTTTAACATTTAAAGACAATTTATAAATTAGAAAGTGAATATTATTGTTAATGATCCAAGTAAATTGTGAATAGCGTACAAGAATGGAAATGGAATCAGTCTTAACTGTTTTTTCCTCTTCTTTTTGCAACATTTGTGGATAACAAAAGGACGATCATAATGATGGGATGAAGGGTGAGAATGGGGAAAATATGGCAAACATGAAGAAACTGTAAACATTATGAAGAGATGAAAATATGAATTAAAGTTTACCTTTATTTACCATTTTTAGGTGATGTTATCAATACTTTTTGAGGGTTTGTTTGTTTGTTTGCTGTTTGGTTCCATTGAGTTTGCTGTGAATGAAGTATTGAGTTTCACAGATTGGAATAGATTGATAAAAGCATTTACCCGTTATGAGGAGCATTTTTTTGAAAACAATAATATTTCATGGGATTATGTTTATGAAGGAAAGAGGCGAGAAACAATTTGTGGATTGTAGATTTAAAAGATGAGAATGGTTATGGTGATGATGAGGGAAAAAGATGATTCTGATCAGGACATGAAATCATTTGATATCAGTTGACGATCCAATGAAAATTTTTGATCCAAAGTCATTATCGTAAGGAAACCGGAAGGAAGTTTATTGGAATAGAAGAGTCTTCAGCTTTCTGTTAAACAGTAGAAACGATAGATTGATAAAGAAATCCAAGATGATCAGGATCATGATGACGATAACGATGAAGATAAGAGGAGATGGACAGAGAGGAAATGAACAGCAACAAGATTTGTGAAATGAAGAGAGAGGAGAGAGAGAGAAATGAATAAGAAAGACTTAACCCGTTGCTTTGTTTTGCTTTATCATCAGGATGGTTTAAGTACTATAATAATTAAAAGGATGGATTTGCTTTTATTTCCGATTTCCGATTAGCTAACAATTTTCTTATTGTTTCAGTCGAGTTTCATGTTGATCAGTAAATCATGTTATCAAATTCATATCCGAGTGACTTTAAAATGTGTCAATTTAAACATTTTTGTTCCTCATGAAATCCGCTTGAATTAACAGCAATCTATTGTTTATGGTTGATGATGAAAAATTTATGTAAACCTCCTTAAGGCACTTTCAATTGATTAGCATTTTAAACATTTCCAATGAAACACAAAAATGTTTTGATAAAATTCATTAATTATCCAATATTGGCCATTATTATTTGGAAATTTGTTTTGTCTGGCTTTTTTTGTACGGTAAGCATCATGGTAAGCAACAAGTTTTATCAACATGACGGTAATCTGGATAATGATGGTGTAAAGATGATCATTTAGTTGATTTAGTATTGCATCCACAGAATTGATGGCGATGAGAAAAAATAATCAAAATTTTTTCACTTTCTTTTTGTTCCATATATCCATTAATCAGCATTTTGAATAAACGAGAGTCTAAGTAGATGAAGCAGTTGAACTTGGTGTTGATACTCTTGATCAATACGGAATGATCTGATTATGATGTTAACCTCTTAAACCAGTTGAGCTTTTTATTGTTTTTTTTCTTTGGTGTTCTCCTGTTGATGATAAACATTCTTATCATTCCAAAGATTCCAAGAAAAATAAAATTTATCAATTACCATTGATTATCTTCCTGATGAGTTGGTTATTTAAGCGACTATAAACTTGATGGGAAGAGGCAAGTTTTATATCATCAACTTTCAGTGTTTGTTATTTAGTACATTTATCAACTGGCTTGTTGTTGTATCAGGATCAGTCAATGAAAAATTATTTGATGATAGGCTCGTAAAGAATGATAATGAAGAGACAATAATAAAGATGTTATTGTTTTTAAGGTTTCCTCCATCATGTCCATTGAAAGCTGATGATAACTGCAATAGTTTATCGGTAATTTTTTTCCGCAATCGTCCTTTTCCTCTCTACCAATCCAAACTGCATTATCATTGTTATTATCCATTATTATTGCTAGGTCATTATTGTTATTGCTATTATTATCATTATTTAAGCCATTGCATCCCTATTATATGGCGCTGGTGGCATTGGTCTTTTAGTAACTTTATTGACAATTAGATGGGTATTTTCAATTTCCCAGAGAACCTTTTGATAACATTGACAGGCACAAATTAACAATGAAACACTCATAATAATGCCAACCACAATTAAGGCCACAACCATTTCCTCCTCTGTATAATTACCACCAGCAGTCCAGTCAACTCCAGCTATTATGGATTAATGAAGAAGAATGAGTAAAGAAGAAGAAGAAACAACGTTAATATGAATATTCATAAGAGTAAAAATGGTTAAAGTGTTATGAGAAAGGGAATGTTGGAAGTAATGAGAATAAAGGATTTTTGCTTTAAATGAAACATTCTTACCTGTAGCACCTCCTGCTGCTGCAGCGGCACCGACAGCACCTCCTTTGGCATGGCAAGGTTTAATTAAGGAATCAAATATTACCAATAAAGATGGAAATATAAGTTTGACCCATGTTATCTCTTTAACTGGTAGTGAGGGAAAAGTATCAAGGATCATTATCATTGACTCTCGAATTGGATGAAAATTGATGACAGTGAACAATTAAGTCACTGCATCGATGTTAATGGTGGTGATAATGATGATGGCAATGATGGACCAATCCAATCAACTGTTTTGTAAGCAGTGATGATTAAGTATTAAGATAGTTCAGTTGTAACTTGAAATGTAGTTTGGATGTTGCTGTTTACAATGTTAAAGTTGCGGGTTTGATGGAGATGCTTTTTACTGTTGTATTGTGGTTAACTTCAGTATCAATTTTATCTGATTATAAGTTGAAGAAGAAGCTACAAAATGAGCAATCAAAAGAAGCAACGATGAAAGTTAAACTGAAAATGATCTGAGAATCTTCAGTTTGAAAAATCAGGAAGAAACTTGAAGATAAAAACTCCTCACTCTCTGGATCTTCCTTCTTACTCTTTTTCCCTGCTTTCTTCTTATTTTCGTTGTATGTGAGCGAGTGTATGTCTTATTGATCCGTTGGGAGAGAGTTAAAAGAAGATGATTATGATGATGATGAGATGAGGAGGAAAATGATGACGAGAAGAGCAAGCGCATCTCAGGGAAATACCAATTCATACCATTTGTTTTTCGTTGTAACATAAGCTAAATTGATAAAGAAAAATGTTACTCTTTTTGCTTACTTTTTTACCCTTCTTTTTTTTGTACGCTATTTGCAACTCATTTATAATCATATTTTCATTTGGACTGGCACATTTATCTTAATAGAAGAGACTATGATGAGTATATTATCCTGAAACAATTTGACAGAAAGTAATGTCAATCATTACAATAAATGCATTTGCAAACTATTTTCTTGTCTTTTGCTTCACCCTATTAGAAATTATAAAATGAGTTGCAAGTAGCAAAAGATAGGAAAGACTATACTCACTGTTACCCATCTGGTGAGAGGTTGAAGGTGAAATTCCCATTTGAATAAATTTCCATTGAACCATTCAATTAGCAACTTTTTTTCACCAGTATAAAATTTCCATACCATGATATGATAGCACTGAATTATCTATTAAAAGACCATAATCGAATTCAATTTAATTAAGATTAGCAAAACCGGCAAATTTTAGGTTGTAACTTACTTGGTGAATTTATACCGAATTGTATTGATATCTTGTTGAATTGACATCCTCCAATCGAGCTGGTTCTTTACCGTCTTGCCAGGAAGATCGGAACTAGTGAAAGACGATCCATAGTAATAATTTAATATCCAAATCAAGTTTACTCACATGATTTAGTGCTGATGAAATGAAGCGAAATGAGCCAAATTTTTACATCTTGGGTTTACGCTTTTAAAGAGTATCGTTGAAAGTTTCACAGATCATCACTGTTGTCTCATTAATAACAATCACCGATGTATTTAGATTAATGACTGAACTAAACATACAAGTAACGATATAAAAGTCAAAGAGTTTAAAACAATTAATCAATGAATTACTTTGTTTAATTAAACCCAAAAACAGGATCGAAAAGCAAATGAAAATGAGCTTATACCGCCATCTATTGTAACAAATAAGGATTAATTTTATTCAAACTGTATAATCGTTTTTTAATAAACCGTAACTTGTTAACAAGCATGATTTAGTGAACTTGAGTTGATGATTATTTAATGATTGATTTTACAACATAACATTTCAAGTTTAATAAGATTTATTTATGTGAACAAACTTAATTACCTATTCAATAAAATTGGAATCGGAATATTAAAGATGGTTTTCAATGATTACAAAGTAACCAGGATTAGATTGACATAGGCAATGACTATGTTACCAGTTGATCGAGATATAATTATAAGACATGGTCTACTTCATTTTTTTCGAACCTCAATCTTGTTTTTCAATTATTTAAAGACTTAAAGACGGAATTCTTGTAGATTAATTGAATGGTGATTAAAGCAAAGTTTAAAGATGCTCCAATGATTATCTGACAAAGAAACAAACAAAGGTTATAAAGAAAGTGAGAGAGGTCAGTATGAAGCTCAAACAAGACGAAGATAATAGGTTAGTCAAGGTTAAAATTTTTGATTTTTTGCTTCTATTTCAAACTTACAGAGAAATTATATACTTAATGATGATTTTACCTGGTTTTTTTTCATTTCACAGATTATCAAAACAACTTTGCAACCTTGACTCGATTCTAAAGGGAAAAAGGTACTTGACCTTGTGCCTATCTTAACCTGAACCCAAAGATCCAAAGATTTTGGTGTTATTATTGGGAATTTAAAGATCAAAAACAAATCAGGTTACCTCACTAAAGACCAATTATTTTATAAGCAAGGTCAATCTTTTATAACGACTTCTCAGGAATTCAAGGAGGACTAAAGACAACTGTGTGCTGCTGACAAAAGGATGAATTTAAAAAGCCAAAGATGCAGCTTATAAAATGGACCAATTTGATTTTGAAAAAAGAGTTTCCAAAACAATAACGACAACATAATTCACAGCTTATTACCACAATGACACCTAAGTGTATAGTTTCTTGGTGATATTATGCTTTAGAGGAAACTCTAAACGTCCATTGTTGAGTTAATTGCTGTAATGATAAAACAATAAGCTCAAATTAGTCAAAGTCAAAGTTGATATTGCATATCATTTTAAATTTAAAATTTTAAAAACAGAAGCGTTGGTAGCTATTGACATGCAAATTAGTTCAATCTGTTCACTTGCTTCCAAGGGTGGTGGGATGATGAGCTTGTTATTAATGAGGATGATATGAATGGTGATAAATACTCAACAGTGAAACGACCGAATCTCAAAGTGGAAACAAAAAGAAAATCGTTATAAAGAGAAAGAAAGAGAACAAGATTGACATTGAAACTAATACAAACTGGACTCTTATTAGTTATATTTATACGTGAGCGGCTGTAATCTCAAGGTTATCATCTTCATCATCATCATCATCATCACTTGTATCATTATTATCATCACAATTATGATGATCAACATCGCCAACGATTTTATTTTCAAGATGTTAATCAGCACTTTATTGTGTGTGTTTATCCTTTCACACCTTACATTCATTCTGGTGTAATTTGATGAACCAGTGAACAATAACCAATGGTAGGAACCATTTAAATATTGTCAAGGTAAGTGATGGTTTAAAAAAGTCGAATCAAACAATGAAACTTGAAATTTGAATGAGAAACAAAACAATGGTCAAACTGGTCATTTATTATCCATTTATTGTCAATTTTCAAAAATTAGTATTACCTTTGAAATAGTGTTTCCAATGCTATCTATCGTGTACAATCAAATTGGCAACTTTGTATTTATTTTAAATATTGATACTTCAATATATAATTTAAAATCAATGCCCTTATTCAAGGTTGACTTTCATTGTGTCCCAATTTAAGGTGTTGGTGTTGAAATTATCGTAGGATTTCAGCGTTAGTCTGAAGGTAAATTGCGGTAATTTTATTCATTTCATTTGTCAACCTGACTTAACATTGATTTTACTGAAAATATCAAAAAAATTGCAATCTTAAAAATGATGTGTGTATAAAAAAACGAATCTTTAAACAGGTCATTACCAACATTTACTTGTCCATTCTGTTGTTTTATTTCTCATAACAATTAAGTGATGACCTTTTGTTGTTCTTTTGATGTTAGCAGCGATTTCAAGCTTACATCATGATCGATTAGATCCACGTTAATGATATTAATTTTTGATAAAGTTCACGGTTTTATATCAATTTGATATCTCTTTAAAGATAATGATTATTGTTTTGATTCATAATTGATATTTTGGCCGTTTTCTCTTTCTTTCAATTTATTTTCTTAAATAATTTTCTTTATTCTAATTCATAGTTTTGAATTTTTTTCTCAACAGATTAGAGAATCAAAGAAAATCCAAAGAAAGAGGAAAAAGAAAGTCAGAGTGGGGTTCGGAAGTGGGTTGCGGAAGGAAGTTTTGGGGTCAATTGGTTGGCTTTGCTGTTGTCAAACTGGGTTTTAATACGAGTAGGCAATGTTGTAAGGATTGGATCCATGTGATGACATAGTGAACCAGGTTTGTGGAGCTCCATTGAAGTAGTTGGTTGCTGGTTGTGGTGCAGCTAATAAAGGTGCTGATCGTCCTACTACGGCTGATCCTGTTGGCCAGACAGAGTTGATGTTTGATGTGTAATGGTTAACATGGTTGGTGAATGAGTGAGCTGATCCGGTGGCTGGTGCCCATGCAGCTTGGTTGCTTGCGGTGATACGAGCTCGTTCAACGGATGAAGGTGATGGAGGAACCAAGGCGTTACCTGAGGAACTTGATGAGGAAGATGAGCTGGATCCGACTGAAGAAGTTGAAGGTACAACTGGTGCTGGCCAGGCTGGGAAAGATGGTCCAGCAGACAATCGAGCAGCAACTGCGTTCCATTGTTGAAGAATGGGTAACTTTTCTTGGTAGTCTTGATCAGCTAATTGTCGAGCGATTCTCATTGCTTCACGATCTGGTCCAACATCTCCTCGAGCGATGAATCCTTGAGGTCCAGCCTCGTATTGAACAATTCTGAGAAAAAATAGAAGTGGTATGATGAAAAGTGGAACATAAAAATAAATTAATCTTCACATTCAAAATTACTTTTTCCCCTCTGAATATACAAACAAAACAAAACTAATCAAACTAATTACGATTGTACCTTTATCACAATCAACTTTTTATCCAACCATTTCATTGAATAGGCAAGTAAAAAGTTATCTGTTTCGAGTCACGATTAAATTTGAATATGAATCTCAATGATAGATTCAAATTAGCATACAATCAACTTTTGTACTTTTTGGTCAATGCAAATTTTGGCCACAGCTCAATGAAAGTGTAACACAAAAACTCACCTCATATGTCCATAAGGATCAACATAACCATATTTTCCAGTGACTTGACCGCTTGCAGCTCTTTGCTCTTCACGAAACATTTTAGCAGGTCCGGAATCTCCTGTGTTATAACTGAACTGATATGATGCTGGGTCCGAGTTGACGTATTCCTGGGTCATTGTTAAACCAATAAAGGGTAACAAGAGGATAACCTAAAAATAATGTATAACAAAACATAATTAAAACACAAACAATCAAAGAAAGTAAAAAAACATATTATCCAATGTCGATAAATAAACAATGTAACAAAAAGCGGTTAAACAAAGAATCACATGGTTACATATTGCGCGTTAATCCCTTACCGAGTGGCAAAAATTCATTTTTAGCTTGTTGTTGTTGTGGTTTTTCACAAAGTAACACTTATAAGTAAATTACACAATTGACACTTCACTAAATTGTAATATTATATTATTAATATTAATAGTGAGGATTAACAGTGAGGATTAATGTGATCCTAAAGAAAGTGAAAGTTAAAGTGAAACTGGTAACTGTTGCTTCAAATGGTTTTATACAAGCTGAACCGTGTGAGCCTTGCTTTAGGTAGACACACATAACGTTGTGTAACCGCACACAATTTTCAATGGACACCGACGCAAATATTAAGGCTAGCCTATGGGCGGACTCGTACAACAACTTATCATCTTGATCACCATTATCAATATCATCCACTGTCTTCATCATCTTCTATGCCGATCTTTTCTCATCACCTAATCTTGACTTTCACTTTAACACATTGACTCTCATTGATGGACTCGGATTCAACCCTAACCTGATGATCAAGATTTAACTTGGTGTTGTTAACAAGCTGATTGTTTAACTTTACCAATAAACAATTAAATTGAAGGACCTGGCCATTGAATGTATTTACTTTAATGGAGATCAAATCTTATATGATCAGTGATCACCTTAACCTGAAACTAATCAATGATGGATTGAAAACAAGAGATTGATTGATCGGGATGGAAACAAAGCCTTTTGAATGATTTCTTACTTGGCAAAACAAATTAGATTATTTTATTAGTAGATTACATTTATAATGTTAATTTACCTGGACTTAATCAACCATCTAATCATATTAACATCTAATTAACGTCTCTATTAACTTGGTAGCCTGGAATCATTAAAATTGATTAACGTAAAGCTCAATGCAAGTGACGAAGATGATCATTCCTGTTGCTTTTACTGTCTAATTTATCATTTAAACAACGATCCTGATGTTTTACAGTCAAAGGGTATTGGGTTATGATAAAGCCATTTTTTGTGGATCCTTTTGTATCGCTGATTGTTCAATGTTTTACGATTCTCACGCTTCTTCCGGTTCATCCCAAGTAATATTATCATGATCATAATGATAATGATTACTATTATCTATTAAATTATGATGAGCAGAATCTGAATAATAATACTGATTAAAGAAAGCTAATTGATGAGCTTTACGTGAATGTAGAAAGCAAAACAATACAAAAAATGTGAATCTTAGTGATATCATTACTATTGTGAAAAAATAGCTTTTCTTACCCGAGTTTATGTTTTTGTTGATCAACAATCAAATGTATTATAATGCAACATTTGATGTTATTGTGTGATAAATGGTTATGTTGCTGATTAATATGAATCAAAAAATGAAAGCAACAAATTATTGCGCTCAGTGATGGACATTGAAGGATCATCATTGTTATCTACTATTAAAAGTGAAAGGCCAAACAATTGACTTTGATTATTACCATCAAAACTCACTTTCATTTGGCCCATAATTCAATAGTCAGTGCATATTATTATCAGAAAATATCATTTTTTTTCTGATCAACCCAAAAATGCCTTCAATCAGAGTACTGTTACTTCAATGAACACTTCAACTTTACTTGGTCATGACTCAAAGTGTCTTCAAGATCAAATGATTAATAATTTTTGAATTGATCAAGACCAAGGAATCAAGATGATCTTGGTTAACCTACAGTTTTGATGCAAAAGATGAGCTGGATTTAAAGCCAAGGATTTATTGGTTTCCTTATGTTGATTGTTTGGGTTAGGCTCAAGTATACAAAGCTTTCGGCCTCCTACAAAATGTGAAACCTTTCTGTTCACAATTAAATATTGGCATCCTAATTAGCAACTCAACAATGAATTAGCTGAAATAGCCAATTAAACGTTTCTTTGTTTCTCTGGTCAAGACATTTTTCAGCCCAATAATTTGGTATCATTATTATATCCAAGGTTTCAACCCAGACGTTTGCGTTTCCATCTCTTCATCTCTTGTGCCAGCTTGATTCATTTCTTGACCATCATGTACCTGTTAATTTCACTTGTATCGACAATTATACTTGTAATTAACTTGACTCATGTTTGCGAGGTAAACCTAATTTTGATTGAAAAATATGGTTGTTCTTGTTGAAGGCTTAAAACACTTATTTTCTGGTGTTTACTTTTTCGTAGGAAGCTCAATCAACCTTACACTTGTTGACTGATTGTTGACTAATGATGATTATCAAGGTTAACGATTACTAAACCATTGAGTTGAAATGATTTGTTCAATTTGCAACATTGATAGAGGTTTTCAACCTTAAAATTGTGTAAAATAGCAAAATTACCCAAAAATACATTCTATTATTACCATAGACTTGAAAGTTGAATAACGTTTGAAACATTAACCAAACCCAGACAATTAAACGGTCCTTAACTAACAAGGATTTTCATTTAAAGGGTGAAAATTATTTACTCAACAGTTAATGATTGAATGACATTAAAATATAAATGATGACGATCATCAACTTCACCACCATTAAGACCATTGTTAACCAGGTTCAATTTATTGTACATCCAATTGTGTACCTTTTTGATGGCAAAAGCCTCAAAAAATGAATCCTTTGTTGGTTTCCCTTTGATGGTTAACCATTTGTTATTTCAATGGGTGGATAAATTTTCCCATTTCATCATTTGTTTGTGATTAAATTTTCTTTATTAATTTTCTTTATCATTTCAGTTGATTGGTAACGATGCTTGAATTATATCCATTAACAAAACCTTAATTTTCCAACAAATCGTACCATTTTGGATGGAAGCCTTGTCTTCTTTATGTAGATTATGTTTGTTTTTTGTTTGATTGTCAAGTGAACTATTATCATTGAATAATAATGATGATCATTACTATTATTTTCAAATGAAATAATATTATTTGGTAATCAACGTTTTTATTTTAAAGCGTGATGTTAACGGCATTGCAATGAGCACCTACTTGATTCTGATGGTTAATAATCAAATTTTAAGAATAATCAAGGCTATACGATCATCTTTATAATAAATTTGTAGCATTGGTTTGGGATGGTTGATATACTGCTTTTATTTGTCTTAATCATCGTGATTAATCAAACAATCACAATGTCACTTTCCCCCATTTAATGGCAACTTTAGTCAAATTGAAACGCTTTTTTTACCAAAATTGATGTTCACTGCAAAGAAAAGTATTGAAAGGCAAATTATAAATTTGAGTTGGTTGAGCCTTTTTTCACTTGGTTGGTTAGCTTTGATTGTACTACTGTTTCCAATCGTCATTCGAGTCTATTTGGTTAAATATTCAAATTAAACAATACATATTCATATGCATATTCAAATGATGATAATTTAAATCATTAAACTTCCATACGTGTTAAAAAGGTTCAATTATCATACGTATAAATGGCGAATCCTTGTTTGTGGCTGTAAACCCAAAAATTAAGTTCAAATGACGATGGATTTATCAAAAGATTATTGCCATTTTAAGCTTTAATGTGGTAGACTTGTTAATAACTATAGTTGTTCAATAAGGTAATGGTAGTTAAATTTAGAGATGATTGTTGGTTGATTTAGTTTAACAAGTCAATTGAAAGCTGGGTGATTTTCAAACCCATGTTAATATTAGGATATTTGCTCCATTACCATACTGAGCAGTTATTTTATAAGATTGTTAGCTTACCTGATATATGTGATGATAATTGGATCTCAATGAAAGGAATAGATGAAGCAAAGGTTAAAAATGATAAATTTATTGTTGATTACAATTAACAACAAGGCCAGCCTTGAATTAACAATTCAATATTTAACTCTTTTAATTGTTTATATACAAAAAATAAATGTTGATAGTAAGTTGTTTATTATGCAACACAGAGATGGCGCTATGGAGGGTTGAAAATGAAAACTTTTCTGGAAAAACTTTCCTCGAAAATGGATAACAGCTGAAAATATGATTGATTAATAGATATGTTATGTAAATTATTGTATTGTTGATGGGTTGATGATTTTTAGTCTTTTGTTAATCTTTTACCAATAATTTTAAATGATTTACTGGTTTGTTGAACAGTGAGTAAAGTTAACAGTTTATTTTGATTGAAGGTTTCGTTTATCACCAGCCACCACCCCATTGGTCACCCCAAGAAGGCCAAGAAGGCCAAGATTGCCATGAAGACCACGAATGTACTGGCCATGATGGTTTGTGGAAACTAGGAAGTTCAATTTGCTTCGTAAATTTGAGGATTCTATCATGAAAGAGGAATAATTTAAATTAATGTAAATCAAATAAGTGAAAGTAAGTAACATTTCAATAAAGCCCTTATCTTCTGACTTGTTTTCAAACATCTTTTGAACTGAATCTCAAACTGATTGATTCTTTTTCTCCTTCTAGTTGATCTTTTTATTCAAAAAATGGCTACAACATTGATGTCAATTTGGACATTCAGACATTTAGTCGATTACTTACGGAAGTGGAAGTGGAAGAGGCAATGGTAATGGCAAGAGTATCTTTTTCGCTGGTCTTAGAGCCAATAGAAATGGAAGAAGCTTGCTCAATTTTTTAAGCTTCAACAATTTACCGGACGAAACTGGTCTAATAATATCACTTGTTATTAAAAGCATGAAAACTAAAGAGATCAACACAGATCTAGTAAATAAGGAAGACATTGTCTATTCCACACACAGTATCGAAGCTTCCACAAGATGTTCGTTATTCCAGATCAATTATATGGACAAGGTATCAATCGGAGAAAGTTTGAGTTGTATCACTTTGCACACCGAGGATTGGCTTAGAGAGGACGATAAAAACACTAACACCACAGAGTTTATCTTCAAGTTGGAATAGATGAAAATCACATTTCTTAAAGATTCTTGTTTATCACTATTATCAATAAATCAAAATGACCTGAGCAACAACCAGAATCAATCTACTTATAAGGCAATTATTTGGTGAGAAAAGAAGGAGGAAGGACCTAAAAGAAAGTGAAAGGTAAAAGAGTAAGAGTAAATCATCAATTCCAAATCAAAACCAATCACACCGTTTATTTATCATCCTTTAATCTCTATTGTATTATATCGACTAGCGGTAACTAGTTTTCAATTGCTTTTCCTACTTTCACTTTTCCTTTCTTCGGTTACTTTCAGTTTCTATCGTTATCCCTAAACACGATTTTGGAATTCAAAATCTTCATAGGTCAAGTAAGGTCGCCACTAAATAGCCGATTAATTAACCAACCAGCTCAATTAACTAACAAGGCTCATCACGTTTCTTTTATCTTAAGGATTGGACCATTCTGAAGCTTCAATCAAAAGCCGATTTCCTGGAATCACTTTCAACTCGTCTAATCAAATTACACAAGCAACTTCAATCTTGGTCAAGTGATAAACCAGGACCATTGATCGAGGCCTGCATCAATTAGGATCAATTTAAAGCCATTCTTTTCCTTTTGGACCGAAATTATTTATCAAATATCATCAGTTGAAGAATTTTGTAAACTAAATTTACTAGAAATACAATCAATTTGATCTCATTATTGGGTAAAATTGCATTGAAATAGTCTTAGTTGATCAGGAAATGATTTTAAATAAGACAAAAATGATTTGAAAATAATAAGAAATAATGAGTGGAAAAAGTGACCTAAAGGAATGAAAACATTTGTATCATTTTGAGAGGCCTTAATTGTGGTAAGGTGTAAAACTACTTTTAGATATGATGTTCAAATTATTGTAGTTTCATCGATTGTTGATCAGTTAAATTGATTAGAGAATTGTGATTGATTTAACCCAACCAATCAAATTAATAAAAATGAGAGTTACATGTGAAGGTGCTAAAGATGATTGTGTGAGCTTCAAGTGAATTTTTGCTTAATGTTTACATGGAGATAACTTGATTGACAGTTGAATAGTGTATTTGGTTCCTTTTCTTGATTTTTAGGGTTAAACCTATTTCTTGTTCAACTCTTTAACTTAATTTGACAAATAATGTGAACGATATTGAAGATAATTCAGAAGTAAATTTGGAGCAAGTAGGAAACTTGATGATGATACAAAGTAAAAACAGCCAATAAATCAATCAATTGATCAGTTTTTCCGGTAACCAAGTTATCATCAATTTGATCACAGATATGGTATTTTCAAGAGTTTAAATTACAATTGGCTATTCAATTTTTTTGGAGTATAAAATTGTAACTCTCTGTCCAGAGTCGGTCAAGAGTTAAATTAATTTCAACAATACGGTAAAATAATTAGTTAACCTTATTAAATAAATCAGCTCACAATAAATCTAATCAATCCATCAATCAATTGTTTATGCATTATGAATGGATGATAGATTGTAATAACATAAAAGGTTAAATAATGATTACATTTTTCAAATCACATTTATAATTGTCAGACAATTTAACTGTTCACTTATCAATTCCTTTCAACGTTAAAATGTTATACAAAATATAATGACTAACAATTTGTTTGTTTGCTTGTGTTTCTTTTGTACAATAATTGAAAAAGACAATTTAATGCTGATTAATTGTTATTTAGTCTCATTTATATTTACATGGAGCCATATTGATCCATAAATTGGTCACAAATTTTCGTGTCTTTTGAATGGCCTGAAATTAATCGACAAAGCAATTCAAATCGACATGCTTTCTCAGTACATTGATTGTGTGAATCAGAGACTACAAAATAATTGTCATAAAATGTCTTGAAAAGTGTATCATTTGAAGCCATTGAAATAACAAACTGATTCCATGATGAAGGGGTTAGATTGACTAAATCGTAAGAATCCAAAGGCGAATACGAGTAATTCCATTCAGTAACTTGATTTGGATTCAGATTGGCTTCAGTTAGATTAAGATAATAGGTTGCATGATCAACAATTGTGAATGGCCAATTTGTTTCATTTGTTGCCATTGAATAAATCCTGTAACTTGGGTTGACTCCTCCAAAGGTTGTCACACTGGGTCCAATGTAACCTATTGAAGTTGGTCGGAATGAACTAAATGGTCCAGTATTATCCTCTTCATCGTAAAATAATACAAATTCATCTTGATGAGTGTGACCGAAAAATTGAGCTGCAATGGTTGATTCAAATCGATTGATGATTCTGTAATAATTGCGAGACCAAACTTGAAGACAATCATTTGATCCAGGAGGAATGTGTCCAATGATGTGTACCTTTTCACCAAGCAATTCAGAGGTTTGAAGTTCATTAATTAGCCAAGTCAATTCATCTGCAGGATCGGTTGAGTTCAATAATAACCATAAGTTTAGATTATTGCAGTAGTTCATGTTCAATGAAATTAATTTCAAACCAGGCTTAACATAAACTGAATAATAGCCGCCCCTAAATTGATCAACAAGGCAAAGTTGGAAATAATATTAATGTTAGTCTATCAAACTGATGTTGAAATAATTTACTTACTTTGCGATGGTTTTGATTGTATCTTGAGGAAGCCATTGAGACCAAACCTCTGTAAGAGCATCGTATAGCCATGAAATTGAGTAAGATCCTTTAATAGATGGCGGCGGGAAACTGTTCAACAAAAGAAACAAAATTAACATTAAGATGAAAATGGAAAAGGTTAATTTTAAGATTAATTCATTACCTGTTAACAGGAACGGATTCGTGGTTTCCTAAGGCAGGATAGATGGGAATATCACCTAAATAACGATTTATAAGGGTTGAAATTTGTTTCAACAATGCAACTTGTCCATTTCTAGTTTGATTCCAAACATCATGAGGAGGAATATCGCCAGTCCATATAACATAATCAATATCAACATGGTTTTGTTTTATGTCTTTCAACATGGCTTGAAGAGTACGTAAAGGTATATCACAATTATCGTATTCACCCCAATAGCCGGCCATTTTATGATCCTTTTTGTGTCCCCTGAATGAGCTTACAGGCTTACGACAGCACAAAGGTTCACCACAATTGACCTCTCCACCAGCCAAATATTGAAGATCAACATGAGTATCAGAGATTTGCAATATCTTTAGAGTTGGTACATTTGATGTTGGAACTGTTGGTGGGTTGGGAACAGCTGGTTTAGGCAAAGGAGTCAAGGGTACGGTCCAATTATGCAATGGATTGTAAACTTCAGCGCAAGAATCGCCAAGGATTGTGCCACAGATTTCCGTTGGACTGAAGGCCAATTGAGAAACGACTTCGACAAATTCATCCTGAAAAAATGAAAAAAAGTAAAACCAAAATTAAAAAGGTTGAACAAATAAAAAGCAAATTTATTGTTGCCTAAAAGACTTATTTTGGGTTTTCAAATATTCAATAGAGTTTAGCTTTTCATCGTTAAAGTAGACATTAAATGACTATTAAAGGTATAAAGGCGATACAGTTTGATCAAATTATTTCACCCTCAAAGAGTTTATTGTTTATTTAATTCATAAATAAACATATGCAAATATTGGTTAACTTAAGATGATTATAGTTTCCATTATTGATGGGTTAATTCAGATGTAATTCTTGAATGAAAGCCTCAATAAACTAACCATTCATTTGTTTCACTCTAAAATTAACCTGAGCAATTTGAAAACAAATTGCATTGAATATGAGCATTCTTTAGTTTTTGTGAAAAAATAAAGTAAGCACCAAATCAAACAATCTGGATGATAATCAAATTTAATCAGACAAGGGATGATTCCTAATCGCATTAAGGATATTAAATAAGTCAACTTCCGCAATTTACCCGGAAATTATAACCATCATTATCAAATGAGTGATTAAAAATTTCAATTCACAGCTTCTTCTCAGCATCTTCAATTGTAAAGTGTAATCTTTCCGGTGAGCAATGAAAAATCTCTCGCAGTCCTAACAAATCATTATCAACCATTAAATTGCGTTAAAATCACAGCTTTGCAAATGAATTAAATACAATTGTACAACAAAACAAGAATGAACAGTAAAAAGGTAAAAGTTGAAAGGTAAATGGCCAAAAAAATGATTGATAAAAGTGTAAATGAATTGGTGTACCATTTAGTGGTTGTGAGTGTGTCAAACCAATCAAAAAAATTAAATAAATTGTATTCAATGTGAATCTTGCTTATAATAGGAATATTAACATTGAAAGTGAAGATGAAAAAATCAAATCAGTTAATTGTAAAAGACAAAATGTTACAGATGATTGAATTTTTGAGCCATCTTTTGACCAGCAACGAACAAAACAAGAGTCAGAGGTTGACAAAAGGTATGGAAGAAAATTGAATAACAAAAGACTGTTTAATCATTTGATTATCAATGTTAACCATTAACTATCAATAATTGATCACAATAATTGGCTTAATTGACAAAAATAGCTAAAATCGTGTCTCTTTTGGCTCCTAAGAGATGGTGAGATCAGCTGTGGTCGGTTGTAACATCCATAGGTTGGGTACCAGAAGAGTCAATCTTTTTGGACAATTGGGAAACCATTGTTGTTGAGCCTGATTGTTGACTCAAAGGTTGATTAGTATTAGTAAATGTTGTCGAGGTTGATTTATTTGTTTTAGGTGGTAAAAAGCCTTTCCATAACTTATTTATTTCATCTGGAAGATGTTGATGCCAAGATTTTAAATAGTATCGAGTATACTTTCGCAGTTGTCGAAATTTACAAAATGTGGCTTCTCCATCAGATACTTCTTTGGTTTTAACCAGAAATCCATTGGTACGAAATTCATTCTCTAATTTGGCTTTTATTGAATTGCGTTCATTAACGTGAGATGTAATTTGATTATTAACAGGGGATGAACTTGATTTACCAGCTTTAAAATATCCAACACCAGGAATAGAAGAGTTTGATGGTGACTCTTTAGATGAATGATGATGAACAGACGATGAATTGGATGGTGAAGAAGAGGTGGAGGAAGATGTTGGTGTTGTCAAGCCAGCTAGTGAAGGTGGAATCCAATGATTATCATTTGGATGAGAGATTAATAATTTATTCTGTTTTAACAAAACCATGGGATCAATTGGTGATGAGTTTGCTTTAGCAACTGGTGGTGTTGACGTTGCCGTTAAGAATGGCTGTTGTTGATTTGAATTGGGGTTCGGTAATAAATAAGGTAAAAATGGTGTTAACATTGATTGAGGTAGTCTTTGAGATGCCATTGCTCCTGGTAATAAAACAGGCAAATAGTCAATTAGTTGATTACAATTAACGTTGTGTTTACCATAAGCCACTGTTGGTTCTTTCCTTCTGGTTGGTAAACGTTTTCTGGTTGACAAATCAAGAGGTTCATTTTGGTGAGATTCATCATCACAACAGCCTCCTTCATCATCTTCATCATCACCATTATCACCGTTATCACAAGGACTTTCCGATCTTAAAACACGTCTAATTGTTGAAGGTTTTCTGCGACTGATTTTACATTGTTTAATCGTTGATGGCAGTTTCGTTGACTTTTCTGAAGATACAGCTGCTGTTGGTACCAAGAAACCATTATTATTGATGTTGAGAGAATCAGAATCACCGACATTGATCACTGTGTAACCATTTAAAACCGAGTCATGGCTGGGATGTGGATAATGTTGATGGTTGAGTAAATCAATGCGATTAATTTCATTGCGAGCTAAAAGACTACCAAGAATTGATTGAGGTGTTAAATCTTTGTGAGAAATGGTTGATGTTGGTGTCGATGGCATTTCATTAGCAAACATGAGCGCTTCGTTTGATAATCTCATTGGTATTAGTTGTTGTTGATGTTGTTTCGCTTGGTGATTATGTGAAACCATTTTATCATTCTTTGATTGTTGAGGTTGCTTCCTATCCCAATTACATACATTAATCTGTTTAGAGCCATTCTCTTCTTTTAAACAATGACCAGTAACTCGACTTACACCTCGAACTCGAGAAAAGTACGACAACTCTTTATTAGGAACAAAATTATGAAATTTCAACACATTACAGTCTCGCTTACGAGGTCGACTATTATTTATTAACCGTTCACTTGGAGATGATTTTACCAATGTACATGAGGGCGAGGAAGAGGCTGATGGTGATGGTGATGGCGTTAATACAGTTGACATTTGATTAAGCATTTTTAACAATATCACAAGGAGCAAGAATCACAGGATTTAACAAAATTTGAAAACAAAAGGCAACAAAACGTGAACATAACATAGAGTAAATAGACCTCAAGATGGACCAGAATAAAGTTGGACTATCCTCGAGTGATCAACAATCAATCGATTGTTTAAAATAATAGACATTAATTGTACTTTTTGTCAAATGGAAAGTAAAAATTGGGGGAAGGAAAGATGTAGAGGATTTATTGAAACAAGTGTATGTAACAAGATGTTCATAATGTTGAAAATACAAAGACTTAGCAGGGAAAGATTGTCGAAGATGCGTAGATGTTAATGGCCTATTATGGTACTAAAAACGCTTTTACTAAATTTGTTATTTTTACTGTTGTTTTAATTGAGTTAATTTAGTAATAAGGTGACTGTTGTGAGCTGCGCGAATTTGTTGACTAGATTAAGAAACATTTTTAATTTGGTTGCATTCTTTTTTGTTTCTTTAACATGTTGGCTTTTTTGCCAGTGCGAAGATGAATTCACAGTTCAAACCATTTTTGGTAAAATTAAAAATGTTTTTCTTTCAAGAAGATAAAAACAGAGATAAGAAAAGAAAGAGACTCATGAAAGAGACAGTTTTTTGCCTCTTCATCATCATAAGCGCCATTTTCCCCTAGCTTTTTGTCTGCTTAGGTTGCATCTTAACTTCAACATCATCATCATCTTTATCTTTTCTTCCCATTTTTGGCTTATATCTGGCTCAACGTCTTCATTGGCCTTGTCTATTTGTGGTTCCTATTTCTCATCACCACCACCATCATCATCTTCATCATCATGGTAAGTCAAATGCCTTTAGATAAACTCTTAGAGATAACTTTACTATCTTCTTTATCTTCAGTTTCTTTCGATTTTGTCTTTTTCTTCTCTTCTTTCTCTTTTCAAAATTTCATCTTTGTTCCAATTTAGGAGTTGTTAAGAGTTGATGAAGAAACATTGAGAACTGCCGTTAAATGTCTTTAAATAATTTTCAAAATATCGAATCAAGTATTACATTTCAAATTAACAAATATTTAGTGCTGATATCTGATTCAATGGCTGTGAAACTAGATTGTGATAATTGATAAGTGACCCAAGAAACGATAATATAACTCAGTTTAGAATCAATTCTTCTGACTGACAAGCTCAAGTTGCTTTGGAGTTGATCTGATAGGTTGCTTAATATTAAGCAACTTTTCAAATAATCAACCCTCTGAATCAACAGATGACAATACCAAAAATGGTATATCAGAAGATAATCATTTGGCTAACATTTGTAAATAACGGATTTTCCGTGAAGGCTTGTTTGATTGAGGTTGGATTAGATGAAAGTGTCAATACAAGAGTTAATTTGATACACAAATGATGATTCTTAAAATCGTGAAAACAAAAGGTTAACTATGGATTGTATCAAATAATTTGTTTGTTATCTTGTTTAATTGTTTCTTTTTCACTCCGTACTTATTTTGAGTCAAACAAATTATAAAGTAATCAACTTATTACTTGATTTAAAACATCGATACTCGTCTTGTAACCGGATATCTTTTCCCAGGTAAAACTATCAGTAGAAATTTCCTTCATTTCATCCAGCTTTTATCAGCATTTATTCTCATATTAAATAAGAGAAATCAATTAATTTGATGATAAATCAGGAAATGTGTGAAAACTGCTTAATCAACGTCTCTGAAGACACTAAAATATAACTTAAACTACATTAGCAACTGTATTAATTGTTGGAAACGGTTGAAATCCAGTAAAGTACTTTGCTAAATTTAAGCTGACAATCACTCTAATCGAAAACCTCTGAAACTGACAATTTAACATTGCACTGACACTTATTTAAGATAGTGTTTTTCAACAGGTTCGCACATGTAACTCGACATTGTCAATGATTTGCCTTAAGTTTGTTGAAAATTGCACATGAAAATTAGTTTAAAAGATTAAGGCTTACCTTATAAGTATTAATGATTCCTTTGCAAACTGTACGATCTTCAATTTTAAGGGTAATGCAAACGGTTGTTGCTAGTTTAGCCATTTCCTCTTTACCTTTTCCGAATTCAATGAAGTGCTGAACCAAAGCTATTCCGAATTTACATGCATAACAAGTTGCTTCGGTTGCTCGACTCTCTTTAATATCGGTAACTACTTGTTTTAAATTCAGCATTTCAAATATGTGAGATATCAGTGTTACTAGGAATCGTTGACCATAGAAAGATGATCCAGAAGAGTAGGAATTTGAAAATGATTCAATTGCGTTATCATGATTATTGTAGTCATCGGGTGTTGACATTGGCGGTGGAGCAGTTACTGGGTAGAAAGCCAAGATGTTAGCTACTAGTATTAAGCTCAAAGTCACTGTCATTGCTTTAATCAACATTTTGAACAGTCGAAGTTTCTTTTCCTTTTCACTAAGATTTCCAATGGTAGTAATATTAAAAATAAACAATTAATAAATAACAACAGTTACAGTGTTAACTGTTGCTCAGTAGGTTCACAAATTGATTAATTTTAAACTGTATTATAAAAATTTATACATTTGGCAAGGAAGAAAAATAAACCCATTTTTTGTTCAATTTGATATTTTTGTTGCTAGTTTCCTCATTGATTGCACTAATGCATTTTATAAAAACAATGAAGATTCCGCGGAAAGAAGAGTCCGATTAGATAGTCAAATGATTAGTAGATATCGGCGAAATCAGATCACATCAGCTGATCACCAAGACAATTATCAATGGTATTGATTATTGGATAAAAAATGGATGAGTGGCACAGAGAGGAGAGGTAATGACAAGATTAATATGAGTCAGTATAAGAATCATCACATGATTAGCTTGAAATCAAAACAAATTGCGATGATATTGGTAATATTGGTGAATGAAACTGTTGGTTAACTGCATAAAATAGTGTTCATCAGGTTAAGGTCAATGATGGTGTTTGGGTGAAGCACTGAAAAATCGTAAACACAAACGCAAAGTTACAAGTTAACGACCGACTGTTAACAATGTTGTCATTAACGTTAACCAGTATCACTGATGTAGTTATTGTTGTCGATGTGATTAATCTTTGTTAACTGTTAACATGTTGTAACCTTGAATCCGGTTTAAGATGAAATAGAGTTTAAAATTAAGAAAAATTTTCTTTGTTTAACCGATTATTCTATTGTCACTCATTTTTTAAAAATAGATGGAGCTAATGGCGTTTTTGTTTACAATAGGGTTTATATAATGAAACTGTTAACGTCGATGGTGTTGATGGTACATAAAATGTTAAATGAGATCAACGGCGTGTGATGACGGAGATCCTTGGTTGACGGTTGACTGTTCATGTGGTCTTGGTTTGCTTGGTTGACTATGAAATGATTTGGATTCACTTTACGCAAGGATGAAGTCAAAATAGATGGCAAACGAGATGATGATCAAGATGTGGTGAAGACGAGTCCAGTCTCACTTTTGGTGTTCACCAAATTAACCAGTGATATTATAAAAAACGGGAAGAGATTCTAAGGTACTTTCAACTAGTCTCTTGATATCCATCCAATCATCTCTTGCAATTAACTAAGCCAAACTGGATTCTGAAAAGTAACCGCCATCTTATGTTTACCTCTATGTTAACCGTTAAGCAAAAACTTGCTTTTACTGATAGTGAACTTGATTATCTTGGATTTTCATTATCATTTTTAACTTTCATTAGTTATGCTCAGCCATGACTATATAACAAAAGTTAATTTAATAACTTGACGCATTTATGACCTTAATATTGGAAATACACTTTCAAAACATAATTATTTTCCGTTTCTCTTTACAGTATCAGTGGTGTTTTGGTGATTATGGTATCATTTGGTTCTCTTTTTTTTGGTCTTTTTATGGATCATTTCAATGATTACAATTGCAATTGTCACTGATGAAGTACTAATCTTTCCAGGGATTTGAAGCAAGTTAAATGGTATTTAGTTACTACTCTGCCAATGTCTGTCCAAGGAAGGCTTGACCCGATAGAGAATCTTGATGGCTTAAGATGTTTACTTGTTTTTTGGTTCAGCGGAAGAAGATCTTAAAGCTATCATCTTGTTGAAGGTGTTTTCCTCCAATGAGCATCATCTTTTCTTTTTCTGCTTTATGTTTACTTCCTTAAGGTGAAGTATAAGGTTGATGTCAATGTACTGGGTAAAAGTAAACTAACCTGTCTTATTTCAAGTTTCACGCTGCCAAAAAATTGACCTTCCAGGCCTGGTTATGGGTCCATTCATTGTTTACTTTTTTCTAGAAAACAAAATTAACTGAATAGTAATTTAATGGTTTACGATTTTGCAGCTGATTACAATCTCTAGTCTACATTTGTAACAGTATGGTGACAATGTATAGATACAATTGTAAGCTGAGCATTTTTTGTCAAATTGTTGGACCGATTACCGAATTGTGCAAAGTAAGTGATCACTTTTTTCTGATTTGAATCAATATAAATACACATTTGCTTTAATTATTTTGTTTCAATCTAATTTTCAGGTTGAAAGGATTAAATCTAATGAAGCTACCCGATGACAGCAATAATCTTCAAACAATACAACTATTGTTTCATAATCGGAAAGATCAATCAATCAGCTATTTTCAAATAATTCAACTGATTATCTCTAAAACAATTTGGTGTAAATTGATTGTAATAAATCACTTAAATAGTAATAGCAAGTTAATTCAAAATAAGGATTTGCATTGCAGTTAATTTGGGAAGCTAAAGTCTTTGTCAGCAACTTTAAGTTGAATAAAAGTCATATTTGATTGCTGAACCTAATGGCTACTTAGAAACAATAGGAAGCTCTTAACATTGACATTAGTTACAAACATAAATCATAAGAATTGATTATTATTGTGTCAGGTTTTCAATTCTGTATTGAATCATAATACAACTGGAAAAGCAACTTGTTGATAGTACTGATCGAATCATGGATTGAGTTATCCAATGGTCAATTAGAGATTTGTTGCTATTCGCTTATCATGTAATATAGCATGTATTGTAATATAAAGTTTTAATTTTATGGAAAACCGAAATAGCAAGAACAGCTAAGTCCAAATATCGATCGAAAAAAGAGCATTACAAATGGCTATATTAGATTGATATTCGTGATTCATTATTAACTTGGAGATTATGCTAATGATTTGTAGTTAATACCATCAGTTGAGATGTTAGTTAGTATCTATGTTTAACCCGAACCGGAAAATTGAAAGATTAATTGGAATCAATTGATTCTGGGTAAATAAAAAAGCTTTTTGTCAACTAATGATTCAGTTTCCGAGTAAGATTTGAATCGATCAACATTTTGGTTTTAGTTGTGTTGTAGAGACCAGATCTGTCTCCCTTCACAACAACCATGAGTCTTATGTTTAGACTAATTTACTAGTTATCTTGCCCTTTTCATGGTTCGACATTATATGTCTAAATCAAAATCAGCTTTTAATTTAACTTAAACACCAACAAGTGCAAAAAATCAACATAAAATGTGTCTTAAATGTAATAGTTATTGTTTCAGTTTTAATATCATATAATCTCGTGATTTTTCCCTCTCTTATGCAGACTTCCTCCTTTCATTTGTAAACATCTACCATTGGAGTTATTTATTTGTGGACTCATCTCTAAATATACATATATTTAATTGATAATTTGGAACATAATCAACTGGATTTAGTAGTTAGAGGGTCGATTAAATTGTTGCAAGATATGGCAGTTTATTATGGCATGCTTAAGTGTGTATCACCAATGAAGTAATTTAACATCAATGAATATCAGGACATACCTGTTTATACTGAATAGCTTCTGATTTATCTAATCAAATCGATTATCCTGGTGATGGCAGCGATAAAAAGCAAGACCAAAAGGCCATCAATGCCGTTGGTATGCAATTATACAAACCAATTTGGACCTCAGATGAAATTGTCCATTAAGATAATGCTATTTGTGTTGTTAAGCAGTCTATCCAGTTACCATTGTAAACAATCGACTATGCCTTACATCAGTATTGAAGATTGCTCTTCTGATGAATATTTTGATATTATTACGCTTGATTGTAAAAAGTGTGACTATGATAATGATCGTTCAACCAATACAATTGGTGCTGCTCGTAACAATTCAGCTTATGGAAAGATGAAATCTTATTCTGGCTTTGAATGTACCTGTCGATTAGGTTTTTACAAACTTTACCAAGACAAAGGCTTCCAGTGTTTACTTTGTCCATCAGGAACAGTTACATCAATTGATGGTCTCCATTGTTCACTTTGCTCATCAAACCACCCATTCCAACCATCATCAAAACAATGTGTCCCTTGTCCATCAAACAGTATTATTGATGAAAGGTTTATCGCCAATTCCTCTGAAGAGCCACGAATGGAGCGATACTGTAAACCATGTCCAGACGGTTCCAAACCAGTTGCTAATGATTCTTCTCAATGTATTCCGTGTCATGCATCAATGAAAAATTGCTCTTGCCCTAAAGACCATTATACCTTATATGGCGGACTATGTTTACCCAATGGTAACTTAATTACTGAAAAAGTTGATCTCTATAAAGTAACTTATGAGAATGGTGAACAAGTAAATTCAGCATTTTTCATGGAAAATCTTCAATCATCCATTTACCAGTGTCAATATCAAGGAAATCGCTCAGCATGTCAACTATTGGCCAATCTATGCACTTTTCTCAATTACAATTTGTATGAGACCAGTAGTTTTGGAGGCTTTATTGGCATCAATAGTGTGAAAAGCAAAGCTAATGCTTGTACCGAATTCCTGAAACTATCTAAATTACCTTCGGTACCATTTCTAATTTATGGTGACAATGGAGTTAATGAACTGAAGAAAGCTAATGTTATTTCAAAAATGTTCAAAATTGATTCTAGATTAGAGTTGATTGCAGCTCGATATAATGTTCATGGAACCTTAGTTGACTACTCTCCATTGAAATTGGGTGAATTGCAATTATGCCAAAGTGAACCTGATTCATTGGATTCGGGTTTTTACTTTGGAACTAACTATTACCAGAAGTGCGAAATAGATTTACGAACACTGTGGGATACAAAAGCTTCTTCAATCTCGTCCATACTCCTTTATGATCTTTACCTTCTTGACGATGATCAAGAACCTAATACCGTTTACCCAATTCCAGTTATAGTTACTAATCTTATGGAAAATGGCGAGGCAGTTAATAAAGGCGATGATGAACAAAAAAGACGTTTGGTGAGAAGATTTTATCTCGCAGAAGCTTTAATTGGAATTGAATTGAAAAAAGATGGAATATCTGATACTCCTTTGGAATCTTCAAAGTCATCTGAAGCATTCAAAGGTTCTTCTAAGCTGTCTGAAGGAAGCTCAGATTACATGCGATATGCTCAAAGTATCACAATTAACATTGCTATTAGTAAAACTGATGGAAGTGGGTCCATTTATACTCCTTGGATCAAAATAACGTATGGTACAGTTACAAAAGAAGATTACATTAATGGAATAAAAGTGCCCATTGAATTTTGTATTAATTATTCAGCTGATCAAAGTAAAAATGCTCGTGATTTATCAATTTGCCAGGGTGTCTTTTGTGGCTTTGCAGTGCTGATTGCTCTTTTCCGAGCTTGGGCTTGGACAAAAAGGCAAGGTAAACAAGCTGTTGATCCTGTAACCATCTCGGAATTTCTTTTGATTAGTATCAGTTTTTTAGCTGACGCTTTTTTCCTTGTCTGCCTCGGTTTCTCCATCCATTCGTTTATCATTTACAAACAACAATCTGTTATCCATGGGCTTTTACCCTCGACAAGCTTTGAATCAACAATTAGAATCTATTTGTACATTGCATTTGCTCTTAAATGTGTTAAAATTCTCCATGATCTCATCATTTTATCTCACACAAATATTTTTCTAATTGACTGGGAACGACCAAGAGTGATTACGGTGACTAAAAGATCTCGACCTGAAGAAACAGAGAGGAAAACCGTTAACGATGATGGCATTTTATCAGCAAATAAAAAGGCTTCAGCTTCCATAAGTTCTGCTGGAGCTGGAACTAGAAAATCAAGTGCTAGTGGAAACGCGAGTTCAATTGGTTTAACTGAAAAAATTAGCCAAGATAAATTACATTTCGCTCATTGTCCAGCAGTTTCTATCTGGCGAACTTATTTTGTTGCCAATGAATGGATAAAACTTTGCACCTATCGTCGCATTAAAACGAGTTTACATCTCTTTTTGGTTCTTTTATTCCTTATTGGTTTTGGTCTGGAAAATTTGGCCACCAGCGATACACAAAATAATTTGAAAAGAGACTCTGGTCAACGGTTTGTTCCTGAGAGTCAAACCTGTCGTTTGGCCATTGGAAGTTTAGTATTTTTTCTTCTTGGATTGGCTCAACTAGGCTGGCATCGTATGTTTCAAGAACGAATGTATAAAAATAAACTGGACGAGTTTGTTGATTTGTGTTCAGTTTCGAATGTATCCCTTTTTTGTCTCCTCTATCAACGCTTTGGCTTTTATATTCATGGTCGTTCACCCAATGGAAGAGCTGATGTGAATATGAAGGAGATGCATGAGCTTTTGAAACGAGAGGAAGATGATTTATGCTCTAAACGTGGTCTTCTTCCCAATACGGATCAGCAAACCTTTGAAATGTTATTACCAACATCAATCAATGATCAATGTAATCGTATTCGAGCATTATTAACAACATACTCTCAAGGTGCTGAAAGGATGCAAGGTGTTGGAGGACATCTCTTCAAGGTTGATCTTGAAAAAGTGGTTCCTACTTATGTAATGTTGACCAAATTTCTTTCCGGTTACATTGAACATGCTTTCAAGGATGCTGATTATACAGTTAAAGATAAGTCAAATGTTGAATCCATCTTAGCTTTTGAACTTGCTGAACCAGGTGAAAGAGGATTCCTTTACAATGGTAAGCTTTTTGATAAAATACATTGTTTAACCGTTAATCATTTTCATATCAATTATGCTATAAACAAATGATATATCTATGAATTGATGGAAATACAATTACATATCAATACAATACAATATAACAAAACATAATATGAAAATTGATTTCTATTAGTTTTTTTGATAATATTGATTCTAATTCTTGCTTTTTTCCCTAGATAATGGACACTCTTTCGATCAACTACTTTTTTGTGGAAATGAGTTCAAGTTATTTACCTTCGAATTTATGCTTTTTATATTCATCGATCTCATTACGCACAATTTTGTTGCTGCAGCCACTTTTACGTTCCTTATTATCGAAATAATTAAATCTATTTATATTGTTGCATACAAGCGCAATATAGTCAAAAAGGCTCTCATTGATGAGAGGTTCCTCATGTGATAAACTTTTGGAGATTGGACTGGCAACACAAAATATTTCATCTTCTATCAATTGATATAAACTAATATTCTAGTCATTTATAATTATCTACGTTTCTAATTGTTTGAACATCTCATTCTCTAATTATAAGATCTCACCCAAAAATTTTTCTGAAAATCAAAATTTGAACAAAAAATTTCAAAATCTAAAATTCATGACGATTCCTTCATTTTTATTACAGATTAATATATATATTCGTCAATACTTTACTTTCCATATGCATATAATAATTGAATTTAAACTTTTAATTATAATAAAAAAGAAAAGACCACAACATTGTTGCTTTGAGAACACCATTAAAAGATCTTGAATCTAACGGAAAGAAGAATGTTTCTATAAAAAATTTCTTTATTTAATCAAATCTCTTCCATTTATTTATCTCCTAATCGATTAATTTCTTAGTCTTGAAAAACTTCCTAAGGTACAAAACTTGCCATGTAGCCAGGCCTAATAAACAAAACATTGAGAAAATGCTGAGATAAAGCACTCGGGTGTTGGTAGATTCTGTAAAGTGAAAGGAAATAAAATGAGAAAACAAATTTTCCAAATAGATTAGTTGACTAATTATCTCTATCCCGATCTAGTGACTTTGCATTTCAACAATAACTTTATATGTGAAATCCAAATTGATTTCAAAAAAGTCATGACGTTACAATCAGATGTGCAATCACAAGTAAATGTCACATCAAAATCTGATTGTTCAAGAACATAGAAAGACATGTGCGAAGTGAAAAGTTTTGTCGAGAAGAGATAATCGGCCTTGCAGATTGCATGAAATGAAAATAGTGTATTTACCGTTGGTATCTCGCATCTCTTCTTCACGTTTTTTCATGTGTTCAAAATCTGTCACAATCGATGCAGATAAATCTTCCAGTTTTGTCAATTCCATTTCAAGAGGCTTAAGTTTTCCAATGTGAGCAAGCTGGAAGATGATAAATTTGGATTAGTAAAATGTACTGTGCAACAGATGTTAATTAAGACAACTTACCTCATCATAGCTCTTTGCTTCCACACCATGTTTCATCTCTAGGTGAACCTCTCGTGGGCCAGATTGGTGACCCGGACTTAGGTAAGAAACAAAACAAATGTCGTAGATATCATCTTCATCGGCAGTGATAACAAACTTTCCTTTGTCGATCGATTCACGGTTGAGAGCAGCGTGTCCTTTGCTATCTAATACTTGCAAATCAGTTCGAACTCCGACACCCTCGGAAAGATCGTATTCGCCGGACACCAAGACATCTTTCCGCATCTCTTCCTTAAGGCATCTCCTCGTGTTTGGTTCCAGCTGGAAACGAATACTGTCAACATTGAGTATTAGGGAACTCAGAATAAGGACCATGAGGATAGCCCGGACAATTGTTGAGTTAATTAATGATGAATTTCTCATGATTCTAGGAGCAATTGATGATTGCAGTGAGGAGGATGTCAAGGCACAGTTGCCTTTACCATATGAAAAATTTGAGCACCCAATTTCTTGATCACTCTTTAACAGCATCTAAACCATCTAATTAAATTCACAAATTTATGATGAGATCGTTAATTGAACACTAAATTTAATTAGAAAACTTACGTGGCAACAAATTGCAAAAAAATCAGCAAACTCCGTGTCACATTAAATTTAGTTTCACAAATCACCTGCAGAGGTATAAATGTTTCCAATGGCGCTGTTTTTGACTAAGCACATAATTCCCAACTTTTCATTGCCTTTTCTCACCGATTCCAACAATCAAGATTAATTTAGTACAGAAAGATTGTGATTAGATGTGTGATTAAAGAGTAATTTTTCAAAAATTTTACCTTCAATAATTCAAAATCAGAATGATTAAAGATCTTATTGAATAATGAAAAATAATGAAAAATAATGAGATCCAATGAGAAAAATGCCAAATCAATATCAAAATAGTGCAAATCCAAGAAGTTATTTGGAAATTAAATAATTCCAACCATCATGTTTATCTTATGAATTTGATTTGAAGTAACAAATCACAATACAATTGAAATTAATTTTATTCAAACAGGAAATATTTGATTGAATTAGGTTTTTGGAATGATTTTGGTTAATCTTCTAACGGCAGATGGCACTTGGAATGCTTCTCTCTTTGCCTTTAATTTTGGCTTTCTTCTTTGAGGCTTGAGCTTTGATGACAAATTTTCCTTCTCTCTTTCTCACTCTCTTTCTTGCTTGGTTTTTTGTTTTTTAGTTTCTTTTTTGATTGTTGATTATTTTGTGATTCGTATTATTGTTGATTTAACAAAAGTGTTAACCTTTATTCATCTAAATCCACAGATTATTGATCAGTACTAAACAAGCTATGGCTAAAAGTGATTGGAGTGATTTAATTAAAAGCGTGCGAAATGCACTGCATGAAAAGAGACATTTTATAGTAAACGATAGTACTGAAAGGAATCAGGTTCAAAAATGTTTGGATATAATTCAAAAGTCCATCAAAATTACCTCACTTCAGTCTATGATGGAAAGATTGGAGGCGATCACCAGACAACTTGGTTTGAAATATACGGAAGGACCCAGTGGTAAAGAGCTTTTCATATCATCTGATATGTTTTACGTTGAAATTCAGTTCAATCCAGACAATGGCCGAGTCAAAGAAGTTAAAATTTCTCATCAATCTGAACCTGTATCCTGCCCTGAAATCACAGATGTCTTAAATAATTCAGATTTTCAAGAATTCACTAAGCACCTCGATGGTTTATCAGCTATTTACCAGCTCAATGCAGATAAGTGAGTCATCCATCTGTTGCTAAGTTTTCGCTCAGTCCATAGCTTCTTTCGGACTGACCTGTATATGTCTTTCAGATGCCTAAATATGCTATTTAGCATTTTCGGGCTTGACTTTGCATCTCAAACTTTGATTTTTGGATTTTCCATTTATTTAGATCATTGACTTTCATCCTAGTTATGTCTTATTCTCAGAATTAATTATTCAACCTTTTCTCTTCTAGGAAACAAAAAACCAAAGCCTATTTAGCACTACATGCTCTTGAGTCAGATCTAAGCATGTTAGCTCAACTTCAAAGGTAAATAGTACTTTGCTAGTATGATTATTCAATTTAATTACTTTGATTTTCATGATAAATAATTTTTTCCTTTAGCTCGAATATAAATGAACCAAATAACTTGGTGCATAAATCGCCTGTTGGTATTTTAGAGCCTCGTAAAGGTGGTCATCCTATGAAACTTACATTCTTTATTTCGCCTTACGATTTACTTGACCTTAAAACCAAATCTTCGGTTCCATTAACAGTTGATGGTGAGTAGTCTCTATCTCTATAGTATTTAGCTGGCTTAGTTTCTTCTGGTCATGATTTAACCTTTCTTTTTTGTTTCAGTTGTTGTCAAACGTAAATTAGGCTATTCAGCATCCGTTTGCATCGAAAGCTCAACATCTCATAAATTACAAACTGTCTCCCTGTTAAGCGTTACCAAAACAGCCGAAGGAAAAAGTTTACCTCAATTCGCTGCCTTAAGTAATCTCAATTCATCAACATTACCAGCTTGCTTCGTTCTTCGTTTACCCAAACAATTACCAATGTCTATAGAGACACTCAGAAAGATCCAAGCAATTACTGGGATTGAAATTGTCTCTGCTGAAATTATGTCTCGAAGTGTTCCTTTGGTCGACCTGATCGCTAATAGTTTACTTCCTGCCAGTGAGCTTAGAGATCTCTCATCTTACCATGGGCCTTACTACGTCCAGTTGCCTGACCAATGTCATAGCTATTATATGAATTACACATTAGGAGATCTTAAAGGAGTTGAAGTATCTTCAATACCTTTCACACACCCCACTTCGGTTCCTCAGATTCTCTTTATTCTTAGGCAACAAGTCCTATTCAATGTTGTTATTTGCAGCTGTATCAGACGTGTCAGACAACCTTCGTTTATGGATTCTCTCATGTTCGAAGTTACTGCCCTTTCTATGTCTGTTGTTAATGTCTCTTTTGAGCACCCTACTGAAGAGTCATTAGCTACTATAGAGTTTGACCTTCGAGATATAACTAATGTGAAATGTAAGCTTTATGATTCCAATAGCTTTTCGTCTTTGTGCTCGGACGAATACGCTTCTAAAATTATGCAAAAATGCTTTTCAATTCCCGTAACTTTAAGAGCTATTATCATAAAATGTCAAGAAAAAGCAGCTATACTTAGAGAGCAACAACAGAAGCAACAAACTAGACTTACTCAGCAGCGCAATCCTAAAGACTTATTTTTCAATAACCTTTCTGCCGCTGAAGATGGCAATGATCACGACGATCTACCACCATACTTATCTCAACAACTATTGAACTCAAACCAATACCAAGATTTGAATGTATCCCTTGAGAATGGCGCTTTCCAACAACATCAACAGCAACAGCAATCACAGCCTCAAC